TTATATTGGCTAAAGTTTTTTCCTTACCGTCAGCCAGCTAGAGAAAAAGATGCAACCTAGCTTACACAGGTTAATGTTTATCTTGCGCTTAACAGCCTCGCCTTTGCTCTCTTTGTGATTTATCACTTTTCTAATGGTCGAACTGTCCCGTGTGGTCTACAAAAGGACCTCCACCGACTTGCCTGACTATGTAAACGGATGAATGGTGGCGACCACAGATATATCCCCGGTTAGGCAACTGAGCTAGTTCCCAAGCTAAGCTAGCAGTTAGCCGTCCTGATCACAGAGCGTCACATCATCCAGCTGCACGGCTACCTTTTTACTCACACCGTCACGGGAGACGACGCAAATCTGGCGCGCGGCAAAATCCCGCAGGATCAGAACTTCGCCATTATTATTCGCTTTGATAATAATATAATTACACCATCTCACTTCTCAGGAATCAACAATCGCCTCGCAACTTCCTCATACTGACCAGCCAATCACGGGCTCCCTCTGCGCCGACGTCATATTGGACTACCTCTCCAGGCTGCAGCACCACAGATTATATATACAGCATTCAGATTATATCACAGGAGCAAACTATTAAGTAACTACATTGTAGGTAAAAAAAAAAATATTATACGGCAAAGACATAAAGATATAGCTGCTGCATGAATTAAGGGATTATTTTGGATTAATGATTCCACTAAAGGCTCCAGGCTTAAATTTCTATCACCCCTCATAATGATTAAACCGCAAAATAACCTTTATTCCGCTTTATTCTGTTTCTTTCCATTAAACTGACTGTGCGGGGAAAAAAACATCCCTCATTTCTTTTATATTTTGCTTACAAGGAACTAGACTCTCCCTGTCATTTTTGAAAATGGCCTTTAGCAATGGTTCTGGTCTTTCAAGGTTTTTCTTTGGGCATTACTTTTTTACTCATTTTCCAGTCCGCGTACCTCAATATTTTGACAGATGCTGATTTTATGTTTTGTTTTTTAGACATTTAACATTCATATAGTCATTCAGCAATAAAAAAAATTAAAAAAAAGCTACCTTACTTGGGGGATGTACCAGGTGATTCTCAATTAGCTATTATCTGAAAAGTTAACATGCAGCATGGTGTGCATGGTGTCTTTAAAAGAACAGAAGAAAGTTGACAAGTGGGAGAGAAATGATAATCCTTCAGCAAATGAACAGTGTCTGAAAGTTGTGTCTTTAACAAATAGAAAAATCCAATCTGGCAAAGGAAAAATACTCTTGGTGGAAGGGTGGCTGTTAAGAATCCATTTTTAAGGAAGTGAAACGGGGAGAAAAGACTTGATACAGAACAGAACAAAAGCAAGCCAACATCCAAACCACAGCTTTGAATGTCCTTCAAGAATCCCATAGAATTCAGCCTATTCCTGAAAATTACTTAAAGAAATTACAAAAACGTATAATATTGACTTCCAAGCTCATTAGAATTGTACAAACTCCGGTTTTGCCTTATTTCCGTGTATGTTTGAAACATGTTTCAAAAATCGCTGCACCCATTTCCCATTTTCTTAGAAAAATATGAAGAAATGAGGTGTGGCTCAAGACTTTTGCACAAAAACAAAAAAATAAAGAATACTGTGGCAATTGTTACACACTTCAGTGTGCTTCAGTCAATCAGTACAACTTTACAGAAGTGGGAAATAACGGAGTACAAATACTAGAATTCAAATTACTTTATGTTACTTAGGTTTAACATGTTTGAGGGAAGTTTTTATTTCCATCAAACATCATTGAGCCTAAATGGAGGGAACAATAACACAGAAAAGACAATGCTGTTGGTGTAGCCATCACCGGAGCTTATCACATATGTAGAGATAAAATACAAAAAAACAACAACATATAATTTATGCATCATTCACAGCACTATACTTACCAGTGGCTAAAGTGGAGCCTGTGTCGTACTTCAGGATCTAGTTCGCACTACAGAGACACATGCTGTGGCAGGTCAAATTCAAATGCAACATTTCTAACAGCTGGACAGATGTCAGCACACACACAAGCCATTTGTATGCAGTTTGACTCAAGGTGTGTTGTCAGCTAAAGGTTCAGCTGCTGCATTTCCCAGGGAGAAAAAGAAAGAAGCAAAGAAACCTCAGAGATGGAGAAAGATAAAAAAGACAGGATGGGAGGTGGAAGAAACATTAGATTTAAAGGTAAGAACTGCTCAGTGAATTTAAAGTAAAGCACTGCTTTGGACTGAACACCACAGTGACTGTAGTGTTCATGGTCAGAGATTACATCAAGGGTACATCAAGTGTAGCAGAGATGAATTAGATGTAAGTGATTAAGCTTCGATTCATTTACTGAATCTTTATACCAACTGTGTGCTGTGTAGTAAAAAGACAGTATAAACAGTATACCATGGAAATCAGCCAAGACAGCTCGTGAAACATTTGCTTGAATTCAGCTGTGTAAATCCACAAAGAGCAGTAAACCTCAGCAGCAACACACTTCAGCTGATCACAGGCTTAATCAGTACATTTTGATGTAGTATTTGTTTTTTGCCACTTGTTTATCAAGTTCAACATGTCATCAGAAAGACCAGACTCGGTAATTTCTTTGGAGTTGTTACAGATGTGCTGACCATCTAGAAGGAAAACTACTTGCTCATGGTCACGCAGTCTCTGCCACATCCACACAAAATAATCTGTATTTGTATTTCAGATGTCTGCCCAGTAGAGGGCAGTAAACGTCAAGGATTATAACCAAAGCATGTACATCATTAGAAAGGACTCGGATCATCCATCAGTGAAGCAGGGATCAGCAAGTGTGAGAATATACCGAGTAAGCAATATGCAAACTGCTAACACTGAGGGAAATGCTCTTTAGCAAGGCACGCCACTTAAGAGCGGCGTGTATAATTACGCTGATGTTTTCAGCAAGCGTGGACACGTATGCTGCTGTTACTCAAGCTGGGAATAGTCACAGTATGCAATTTCATTTTTAGTCTTCACACTCAAACTCAGAGTGGCACTAAAAGAAGGTGCCTTCACACTCATTGTAAGTGCTGATGAACAAAAAATGGAAAGTGAGTGCGTTAATGACTGTACAGAAGAGGCAGGCTGATTCAGCAGTGGATAAGAAATTGTTTATTGACTTGAACATAATTACAAGGAAACCAAACAGTCTGCAACATTCTAGCTTCAGTGGGAAATGCTCTAAGTGAATCACACTCAACACAGTAGGTCATCTCAAACTGCTTTTTATTACATCTTAAATAACAGTACATTTTAATATAGTTTCTATCTTGCATCCAGCTTTCGGTTGTACACTGACTGACTTTAAAATTAAATACAAAAGGTGAAAAGGGAACAGTGGGGGTGCAGAGCTCTACAGTTATTTGATAGAGAAAGAGAGAAAAAGGAAAGGGAATTTAATTAATTTGTAATATTTTTTTTATTTTGTTTTATTTTTTGCCAACTCCAGGCCTAACGCACAATTACAGCACATTTTTTTTGTACAGAATGTCGCAGAGAAAAAACAGAATGGAAAAAATGTCACTACTGCTAAAGAAAGAGCGTTTGTTTACAAGAAGGGAACAACAGAAACTTCTGCCATTCAGATGCTGCAAGATTTTTTTTTCCCGTTTTTTTTTTATTAAAGGACAGAAAAAACCTGTTATAAAATGTTTTCCTTTGTAAATGGAATTTCGTTTGCTACAGAAGGAATGAAAATTTTATTTTGTTCCATTGGAGATTGTGTATGTTTACGTGAATGAATGTACGTATGTATGTGTGTACAATTTAAACACTTACATTACTTTAATTTTTGTGGAATCCCTCCCAAGTATGGACCAAGTAACCGTTAATGTCGCAGGGTTTGCTTCTCGAGTGCATAGCTTTGACATTTTAGTTGAATCGTGTATGCACGGAGTAGCCAAAAACAAAAAGGAGGAGAAAAAAAAAAAAAAAGGAAAAAAGGAAAAAGAAAAATATAAATACCATCGTATTGATATATTCAACAGGTTATTTTCTCAAAGAAAAACATCAAAAGGACTTAATTTCATATGCACCTTTTAAGCAATTCTACAGCATGCGATTCTAAGAGATAACCCACCCATGGCAGACAACCAAAATTTTTTTTTTTCGTTTTTAACTTAAAAAGTTTCAATATCATTATTTTCAAACATTGATTTATACAACATGTCATTCACAGAGTAGTAACTGCATTTCCAAGCACGGAATGGGCACCTCTGTTAAAAGAGAAAACGTCCGGATTGCAACCGGGCTAAAGTGGAGGTACTCTCTACCTGACCAAATCACATCACCGGTCCCAACCACGGGCAACAGAAACCAGGGGAAAAACAAAGGATAAGGAGGGGAGGGCATAAACAGAAAACAAACCAAAACAAAACGAGGGGCAGGGTGGATTATGATCTGATGGGTTAATCTTTATTCTACATTGTTGCCAGACAAAAAGGTGTAAGAATGGTTAAAATGTTTGGGTTTCTTTTTTTGTTGTTGTTGTTGTTTTCCGTTTTAAAAACGAGCATTCGTCATCATAAACAGCATGTGCTTGGTTAATTAACTTTTTTCCTTTAGACAGTATATATGCAAAGTTTAATTTTTGTGCAAACAGATTTGTGGACTACAATGGGGTGTGGTGTGGGACAAACAAACAAACAAATTAAAAAAAAAAAAACCCAAACAAAAGACAGTAAAAGTATTACGGGGCTAAATATACAGAAGGGCCAGAAGTGGCTTTGAGGACTCCCTGTTGAAGCTGAATTCTCTCGCTTTGTTCTCCGGTGGGATAAAGCTGGATTTAAAATGACGCGATCTGGAGATTCTTTTATTTTTCCCAACTTAAAAACATTCTCTAAAAATGTGTAAAGACTAGGAAATAAAAGCTTTGATCCTCATTTTAAACATTAACTGACAGTTCACTGATCTACCTCTTCAACTAAACAGAAAAACAAAACAAAGAAACAAAAATAAACATGGTCAAAAAGCTATCAAGAGTTAGATCACTGCCATGTAATAACCTTCACTCAGACCTGTGCATAATGAGGACGCAGGACACATTTCGCTTGGTGATGGTGGTGGTGATGGTGGCAGCGGTGGTGGGGTTTTTGTATTTTCAGTTATAACAATACCAGACCATGGTCGTAGGAGGAATGCACAATTTTCCCCTCAGTTCCACTCTGAAAGCACTAAATTCCCCAAGCTTTTTTTTCTTTTCTTTTTTTGTAGCTTAATGAGTGACAGACAATTGTGCTCTTTTAAATGAGAAGGAGACAGAGAGAGAGAGAGAATTTTTGCCCTTGATAGTTTTTTGGAGGGGGTGTTTGGAGTCAGTATCATGGTGTGTTTTCGAAAAGATTGGATATGCAATAAAATTGAACATCGTGATGTTGGAATGGTCTTCCACTCAACTTTGGAGTCCGGATGCCATCTGGAAAAAACAAACATTTTATCGTTATTACTCTGCAAAGTTACAAACTGTGCACAAAACTAAAATCATTTAAGCCGGTGCCTGCAGTTTCA